TTGAAATTTGGGGTTAAATCAACAGAAAACTAGCATTTGGATATTTACAGCCCCCTGCTTTTTAAATGAATACATTATTTTCTTCAATGCCCTGGAAATTGTTGGTGTTTATTTAGGAAGTGTGACACAGTTATTAGGCCTTTAGAAACTTAGCATTTAAGGGGGTTTGATTTGGATCCCAAAAAGCTTGAAAAAGAAACAGTGCACCTGGGGTCAGGCAGGTCATCACAATAACAAAAAGCGAGTCTACAAAATAAAAAGCTCTTTTATAAAGAAAGGCAATCCCGGAAATCCACTGCGAGCCTTCCTGATGACCATCTAGCTAGGCCTATTCTCAGGTTTAATTGGCAGGAGGTTTATTGGCGCCTTATTGGTGTTGATTGAAATTTTGCTCCCAGTCCTTTCTTTTAAGAATTAGCATCTCAAGTCGATTTACCTGAGTCAATTATCTTTTTTTAGGGTCTGAGTTTGGTCATAAATTTGCAAATATTCATTAAACTCACTTTGTAAATATTCCACTTCCCAGCGACTACCAAATTTCTGTTATTTCCTTTAAAAGTATTTTTTTAAGGCTTCCATAAAAAGAAATTGATCAGGGAGCTATATTTAAATTAAGACATATTAAATTGATGGCAGATACATATCACGCTGTGTTTAACAAGAGTTGTACAAGGAGGCGGGTTCCAGATTCCGCACGGCTATGCTGCAGCATTATTCACATTTTTACAGCCTTTCCTTCATGCCTCCACCCATTAAACCATTAAATTTCAGCAATTCAATAAAACAAAGCAGTTATAATTTTGACGAAAAGCTATTTTGAAGGGGGTGGAGGCACTCATTTTATTGCACAATAAAAATGCTCGACAGTCCATATTACAGCATAGGTTGTATTTATTTTTTCTTTATTCATTTTTTTGTTTTGTTTTGTTGTCTTGTTTTTACTTATAACCTGCAGGAATGAACTCAAAGCTACCATTACAGCAAGTATAGATGCTCACTGCCAAGAAATTCAAATAAAGGCCCTTGTTTTGAGAGGAAATGAAGGCAGTGGTGATAATTCCCAATATGACGTGCTTTCTTTATAAAGCATGTCGTGGGTTTCCATCAACCTTTTTTGTGGTTGGCTTGAGATGTTTCAAGTCGTTGAAACAAAACTGTGAAAGAACTCATCCTCTTCAAATACAGATGTGGATTTTGTCACCGTTGCTCATTAGATTTTTTTGTTGGGTTTGCACTCGTGCCTTTTTTCCTATATTTGAACTTCATCTAAGCTTAAAGAAAAAACCCATCTGAAATTTGATAGTGTTATTGTCTTTGTCAGTTTTATAAGAGAATTGACATTTCCAAGGCCCAAAGGGAAGCTCTCCACTACGACGGTCAATGGCACTATCGAATCAATTCTTTTGAAAGTATTTTTCACTTCTTCCCAGGACCATTTCCCAGTGATGGCTTTGTGTGATCTATTTTTACTTGTAGCACAAGCAAATGAATAAAGCTAGTAACATGTTTTACTGTATCCCCAAAGGAGGGGGGGTCACATTCCAGCCATTATTGCTTTTTTACAATTAATTTATGGAGGGAAACAAAATTAAAACTTTTTACATTCTGACTTTAATTTTTTACCGTTTTGGAACGTCACAAATTTTACAAATGTTTACTTTTTAAATTCTGAAAAATGACACTTTTGGACAGTAAAACTTCTGTTTTAGGGGTGTCATATTTCGCTACACCTCAAAGTGAAGTAAAGACTCATTTCTATTTTTCAAAAACTGATTTGGTAGCAGGAGAGGGGTGTGGTTCCTTCCTGTAAAAGCCGGTTTTTATGGTTTTCAAATAAGACATCTCAGTTGACGAGCAAATGTGAAAGCTTATCCATTAGTAGACAGATAATGAAGCTATTTCTTGCGCTATTCTAGCTTGGGCTCCTTTCACAGAACCTGAGGCACACATGTGGCGTGCGCTCTGGGCAGAAGGATGATTCTGCTGCAAAGGCCACAGCTTGTTTAGCGGCTTCTGTCGGGGGAGACGCCTTTTGATCCGCCTGGCCACTACACCTCCGAAAGGCAAACGCGTCGCTGCCCGATATTCCTGCCGCCCCGCCCCTCCGGTAGATCTAATCGAGAGTGGCAGCTCTAGAACGATGAGTAGGGACATTACACTTCTAGGAAACTCCTTCGAGTCATGTTGAAAGGAACTCCACGAGCTAAAAAGTCGAAGTAAAATGGTTCCTCGGGAAAAAGATTTATTTTGACTTCACCTGTTTTTGACTTCACACAAGTTGTTTTGCAACCAATACACTTTAATAAATCTTCCTCATTCCGTCTCCTGTCTGCGCCCTCCGTGAGCGATGGGCAGACTGGGTGTCCAAATTAAAAAGTTTCTAGCATCACTCATACAGGTATGATGACGGGATGTCACTCTCCTTCTCAGAAAGCAGCCCAAAGTTCATCCGAGAGAGGAGGAGGAGGTGGGAAAGGTCTCTTGGGTGTTGAGAGGGACGCTGTGAGCAGTGAGGCGGTGGTTTTTGAAGTTGCAGGTTCTCTCTCGCCTTTTGCTCCTTGGGGGTCTCCAGCTCCTCGCCGTCCGGCTCGGTCAGACCGCGTGCTGGAGCGCGCACCCCGAGAGGCGCGTCAACAGAGCACAGAGCGCAGGGCCAGGGCGCTGTGCGCGCAGGCCCAGCACAAACTTTCTGCAAGTGCAACTCGGGCATTCCCGGGGGGGGCGGTGACGCAGGGCTCCGGGGAGGAGGGGTCGCGAAGTGAAAGCGCAGGCGGTCGCGAGCTCGGGGGCAGTTCCCTGCTGGGCCGAGGCCCTGAACGGGAGCCAATCGGACAGCCGAGACTGCTGCCAATCACGCGGTTCCCTCCAATCCCACCCGCACCATTTCCAAAATCTCGGTCCCACTGTGCAGCTCAAATGTGGCGTTCACTCTGCCAATCGCTGGAGGACAGAGTGGGAATAGGAATAAGCAGAGTTGGGAGACCAGGACAAAAGAAGTTATAGAGCCCCTAATATATACATGTTTTTGAAGGCGAGCAGAGGGAAAAGAGTTCCCCCAGTGAGGGTCTATGGGTCTGATTGTGTAGTTCTCATGGAGCCCCCTTTGAGCAAGAGGAACCCGCCAGCGCTGAGATTAGCGGATTTGGCAACGGCTCAGGCCCAGCCGCTCCAGAACATGACAGGCTTCCCGATGCTGGCCTGCCCGCCTGCCCACTCCCAA